TTTTCTTTAGAGCTTTGAAAAAAAAACTATTTTGAGGATTTTTTTAAATTTTTGAAATATTTTTTTTTCAAAGCAATCGCGATACTTTAGTTGCGTATGAACAAAATATTGAAGCCTAGGTAAGGAAGCGTAAGTTGCGTAGGCGCCGCGTCGCAGTATAACGGATAAGCAATAGTTTGGAACCCAAAGAAAAGTGAACAAAACTAGTTATTCTTATTAAAATATCTATAAAATATGTGATAATTTGATGTGCATATGTCTCATGCTCATTTTTATCCGCCAAATGACGCCAATCTTTTTTATTGGAGCCTTACATTCATAAGTTCTTATTTTCGTTAATAGAAATAATATGTTTTTTGAATTATGCAAATTGAACGCTCCGTTCTCTCAAAAAATCAATTACCATTCTTTGCGCTTTTTGCGTTTTATCTTCAAAACGGCTCGACCTGCCTTTGTCAAAAACTAATCAGCACGTCTCATTATCAATAAGAATCGAATGTTTTTCAATTATTTAAATCGGTTGACTATAGTTCCCGAAATCGTCGACGAAAATTTGTATCCGCACACATACACATACATCATTTTTTTCTAGGGCATGGCAAAATGTTCAGAAACCTTTGTAACGTACAGATATATAAATATTTCGATTTTTATGCGATTATTATAACTTTAAAATTTAGTAAATTACAAAAAATGTGATATTTTCTTAAATTATAACATTTTACATCAGCTTTAGATATACTTTATTTTTTTATTTCAAGTTGATAATAAATCTGTGGAAGTTAACACTGCATTTAATTTTATGTAGTACGTATATATTTGAGATCTAAAATCAATTATTTGATCAACATAAGTAGAACGTAGTCATCAGTACAAATTTTGAAAAATTCCAACTTTTTCAAAATAAAAATAACCATTCTATAATCCGGACTAATATTAAATAAAAGGTATATTAATTTTTTTTTAATATGATTCCGAGTAATAATTTCTATACTATGGTTACTATCACTTCTATATATTTCCGTTATTTTTGATATATCAGAAAAATATGTTAAAAGTTGAAGATGAAACAATAATTTTTTGCAGAATCAAAATAATGTACTACGTAATGTACTTAAGTTGTAATGAAAATTCAAGTCCATTCTCTTAAAATTTGCTTATGTGGGGTCAACAAAAATTATTTTAACTTTTAAATATTAACGCAATAATATGTATTTGAATCAATATAACAAATATAATATTACACGAATAGTTCAAAATTTACAAAAAATTATGCTTAAATAATTTCATAATTAAGCTGTAGTATGATAGGCAAATGTAGGTTAATGCATTCCAATAAATAGACAATCCATAAGTTCAGCAAATTCTATCAAGCCAGTACCACAATCAGGCACTTGGTATCTCTCATAATTAATTTAAGAAGATATCAGCAACTTAATAAATTCTATCGATAACATCCATCTGGGGTGATGGTACTCCAATCAATATTCCTAAGTACTATCTTTTTAACTAAGTCTTCACAATCTCATATACTTTCATAAATCTAAATTTAACTGTTACCTTCTATCCCAGGTTACAACGATTTATATGAGGAAGACGACGAGGAAGAGTACGACGACGACCTCGATGACGAAGAAGTAGCAAGTCCCAGAGAACGTACTGCCATCGAAGAACAGTGGGACAATTCGGCAGGATTCGAGTTGACCAGTGTCGAACAAGAAACTTACGAGAAGTATTTCTATGGTACAGAACACTGGAATTATTTCACCAATGATGAAGATTTGGGACCAGTGATATTGTCGATAAAGCAAGAGACTTTGAATGGAAGAGATCAGTTTAGGATATTGGTGAGGGCCATAAGTTACACGGTGCATGGGCTGATACCGGCGTCTTGCGTTTTTGCAGACAGGTGAGTAGAAAAAATAGGAAAAAACATTATTGTAATTTTATTATTTATGAAAAGAAAATGTTTTTTCTACTAAACTAGGGGTGAGTGGCATCGTGCCTTAAAGCAAATTGCTGGAACTTCCCGTATCAGAATTATATATTCGAGGAAAAAAAATCAGTAATCAATAAAAATTGATCAATGATTTACAACAATTGTCTCATACATTTTCAAATAGCTAATTACAATCACTATTTATTTTATCGTTCATAAAATATACAGTGAGGATCTTATCGCCTAAAGTACTTGAGAAAGTTTACATTAGCAAGAGGTGCCGAATAAATCCGTCTGAGGATATATTTCTTACGATTAGAATAACGCATTTGAAATATAAACATTTTGAAACTGAATTGTAAATTTAAAATTCGTATTTGAAGTATAAAACATTGTATATTTTTAAAAATTTTGAAAAAAAAATTTGATAATTTTGCAAATTTTTTTTAACCGTATAAGTAAACTTTGAAAATTAAAAATCTTGGTACGTAACCCAACAAAATTGTAACAAAAAAATTACTACTATTTTTTAAAAACTTCATCAAATATCTTATAATTTGATATGCATATGTCTAATGTTCATTTTTAACCACCAAATATAATTTTTTTTCATTTTTTCCTCTGTATTTCCGAAACCGCTAGACCTGTGTTACCAAAAGTTTCATCAAATATCTTGTAATTTCGTCATTACAAGTAAAATGATTTTTGATTCATTCAAATAGAAATCGAATGTTTTTTTAAGCATTCAAATCGGTTGATTTGTGCGCCCGAAATCGTTGACGAAAAATTGTATCCTAACATACATACATACTACGCACACACACATCCATTTTTTCTGAGGTTTGCCAAAATGATCAGAAACCTTTGAAACGTAAAGATATGCAACAAAATTTAAACGGGAGGTTAAAAATGTCTTTTTCCTACTAAAACTAATGGTGAATGGCATTGTGCCTTGAGGAAAATTGCTAGACAAATGGATATATCCATTCTCTCTAAGGTATGTCAAAATGTTCAGAAACCTCTGAAACGTAAAGATATGCAAATAAATTTACTTTGAATTATTGGATGATTACTACCTATAACTTACCCTACGGAAAGAAGGGTAATGAATTAGCTGGTATCTTTTGTGGTCCAATAAGATTTTTATATGCAAATTAAATTTTAAATTTGATAAGATCTTCGAACTTTTATTCCAGATAGATAAGTTATTTGTAGTTTTTAAAATAATGCAATTTTTATTGCATTTTACAAGTTACAAAAATTATTAAAATGTTAATTTGAACTTTACTGAATTTTAAATTTTGTTATTCAAACAGAGAACCTTTTTTTTCTAAAATAATTAGTTAATTGATTTTGTGGTAGTTAGTTATTGGTGAATATATCTCGTGTTAATTTTTATATCCAGTAAGTAAATATTAAAGCAAAAATTTAGAAGTTGGCTTAAATTTTTTAAGGTTTAAGAAATAACAAATTAGAAATGCATAAAGAAGCAGCAAGTTCAAAATGCATAATTTTGTTTTGATTTTTCAGCACCTACTAAATTCTTTGATTCTAGTGTACATATCAACAGTTAAATTGGATTTTATTACTATTTTTGATATCTATGTTACAAGTTGCCAGTTCGAATCTTCGGGGAAATTATTCAACGATTTTTGAGTGTTCCCCAATATTTCATTTCTAATGCATGGCACTTTTATTCAAAATGTTTAATTTTTTAAAACAGTTTCTAATGATAAACAAAATTGTTACAGAAATGGTATATAAATTTTTCTATAAATGTGCCTTAAAGTAAGTTGGTTGGAATTCTAACTTCAAATTTTTTAACTGTTTATTTCAAATCTAAAGGTTTTTTTTTTGTCTGAAAACTAATCAGTTCAATTTCGAATTTACATCTTTCGAATAGTTATTGAATATTGGAAATCGGTTCAGGACTTATAGTAAAAACTTTAACAAAAATTGTTGCATAAAGAAATAGCTCGCAAAAATTTAGCAACGACAATTCTTCTTCATCAAATGAATTTAAAATTTGTGGAATCAGAGCAGCCGTTTTTGTAAAAACTTCTACAAAAAGTCAAAATTTGTCTCACATACGAAGATACCTACATACTTTTGCAATATGAGTGTCAAACAATTCAGAATAACTTAAGGATAAAATTAGCAGTCCTACTTAATAGCAAAAACATGAACTCTAGCCTCCCCTATGAAGTATATATTTTTATATTGTAGAAGAAATAATTTATTTATAATCTATTTAATCATATGGTAAGTTATATCATTTCCGGTAACTATTACCATTTAACAAAACTATAGTACAACATTTTGAAGTTCCTCAAATTTTGATGAAAGTTTCATCCTTTGCAATAATTTAACAATCATGATAACTTTCAAAACTTAACTATACAATATTTCATATGAAGAAATAATGATGTGGTATAGTTGGAAATAAGAATGAATTAAAATTGGGCACTAGATTTAGATTACATCTGATCACTAATATAATTTACTTAGTAATGCAATTTCAATGAAAAATATCCTGTGTTGATTATGCCAAATGCAGAACACATCAAACTCATTCATTATTATCAATTTCATATTTGCATATAGTATATTATAAAACATTTGCAAAAAAATACAAAGTGGTAAGTTCAAAATTTAGGTAGCAAATACAAATTTTAAGTAGTGAGTACAACATTTAAAGCATTCAAAATTTAACTATCCTTTCACATGAATGACTCTGAACTGATAAAAATGACTACTATAAAAATATATTATGTATTACAAAATGTATATGAAATTAGACACATTTGACTACTTTAATTTTTTGAGAAAAAGTGGTAACTTCATTAGCAAAATAATCTCGTTTTTTGCAAAATCATTCACAATTTTAAATTTGAATATGAGTTCAACTTCGCTCATGTACCTACTTTCAGTCATAGAATTTTAGTTATATTATAAGCGTTGCCAATCATTTCGAAATAGAAGCATTTTTACTGAAAATATTTACCAAAACCCTGCTTGAATATACCGATATAATAATTATTATATATTTTTCTAGGTATAATCGTGAAGAAGTAGTCCGATCTCTTGGCAAAGAGGTCAACATCAATCCACCTCTGGTCCTTGGTCAGTTACCAGATACTCCAGAAGAATTGTTAAAATTGGACCAAGTTTTTATCAAAAGTGAACTAAAAGTTGGTGTCATCTATGTACGAGAAGGCCAATATACTGAAGAAGAAATTTTGGATAATAATGATAATTCGCCGTTATTTGATGAATTTTTACAAGTCTTGGGAGATAAAGTTAGATTAAAAGGTATACATTTTAATAATATATTTTAAGCAAACATTTGCCAATATTTTAATTGTTAACAATTGTGATTTTTAACTTGGTCCTGGTATTTATTTTCCTATCCATTTCCAGGTTTTGATAAATACAAAGGCGGCCTGGACACCGTCCACGATTTGACAGGGCTGTACTCGGTTTACACGAATTGGAGAAATATTGAAATAATGTTCCACGTGTCCACACATTTGCCTTATGAAAGACATGATCCTCAAAAATTACAGAGAAAACGACACATAGGGAACGATATCGTTTGTGTCGTGTTTTTAGAAGCCGATAATACTTCGTTTAGTCCTGCTTGTATTAAAAGTCATTTTTTGCATACGTTTATTTTAGGTGAGTAAAATTTGCAGTAAAACTTGGTAGAAATAAGTGGAAAGTTATGAAGAAATTGTGAGGAAATTTAGTAATAGTCACAAAAATAGAAGCAATACACCATTTAACCTTTTTCACTCGGATGCTGCCCGTCTGGCGACAAAATACGTATTAATTCTGCATTTAGCTAGTGTAAAGGGTTAATACATCTCTAAGTTGGCAGTTTTTTTTTTAACTTTCGAGCATCAAAAACCATAAAATTGTATGAAGAGATTTAATAATTTATGTATTATTTTATTTGCCTTTAAATTGCTTTGATCTTCAGACATTCTCTAAGTTTGTTGCTGAATATTATAAATATTATTGATCATTTATAATTATAGATAATTCCAAACACTTCAGCACTATATTTTTAGTTTAATAACAATCTATGTTTTAGTATTGTCAAACTTTACATTTAGGTAAAATCACATTCTGATTTGAACTACAAAATATGAATAAAAAGATAATATAACATGCCAACAAATGAGTAGATAATCTAGTTGAAAGTGGCATTGAGCCTTAAGGCAACTTGCATGAACTTTCCGAAATGTGTAATAATTGACTTAATCAATCGAATTTGAGATTTAGATATTCAGATGAAATTTTCAATTATTCATTTGGAAAATAGGGTTATCGCTATCAATTGAATCTAAACATTCCTGTTTCTAATTGATATCTTTCAGACATATTTTTAATATTTGTAATTATATTTTATAGTGCATAGACACTAGTGTTTGTATGTCCTAAAATTAGTAGCTCATTATTATAAATTTCAATGAATTGATAGTGTTTGAGTCATCACATCACAAAAGCAATTTTTGACACAAATTTTGACTATAATATTTGTTCAAACTTTGATGAATTTTTAAAACTAAACCCCTTGCCGAAGGAATGTAAAATTGTAGTATGTTGTTCAGAACCATGATATCTATCGGCATGAAAAGTTTCATCAAAAAAAATTTCAACAGTTAATTACGAAGAAACGGCTCGGCCAATCTTTGACCAAAACTGATCAGCACGACTCCCAAATAATAACTTTTGAATAGTTTTTGAATGTTTAAAATCGGTTCAAAATTTTTGGCTAAAACGGTGGACTGAATTTTTTTTTTTATTTTTTTGCTAATTGCAAAAAACGGCTTAGCCGATCATATCAAGAATCTAACCGACGAAAGTGCTTATCAAGTTTTATTATGGTTTTTAAATTTTTAAAATCTACTCAACCGTTTTTGAGATAACATTGATGAAAGGTCTAATTTTGACAAAAGGCAAAAAAACGCGACCAATATTTCCTACCTTTGACGTTTTTTCAAAGTTAAACGAGTTGTCGTAGAACCGTAATATTTTAGTATGATCTATAAGACTATGGTATCTACCTTCAAAAAAAATTACACTTTATTCCAAGAAAACGGCCAGGCCGATCTTTATCAAAAACAAATCAGCACGATTTCCAATCGATTTTTTTGATGAAAACAAACTTTTTCTTCGGGAAGTTATAAATAACTCCTTCAGATTTTTTTGCTTTTTGTAAAAAATCTAACTTTTCTGATCATTTCTCAAAGGCATTCGATGTAAATATTTCAATGATAATAAAACAATTTGGCATATGATTGATAGAAGTGATTTACCTGTTCAGTATCTGGTGAACGTTACATCTTGAAAATAACCATAGTGGATACTTTTCGAAAAAAATTTTTACAATGACCACTTGAAACTTCAAAAATTAAGTCATCAGATTTTTTCACTTTCAATATTTGGAGCCATGTTGCTCTGGTTTCTTGAGATTTTGTCTAAAGTTGCCCTATTAGCTCAAAATACCCTTTTATTTTTAGTATATATCAACTTCTTTATTCATGGACTAGAAATAGCTAAATCTTGATACCGCCAACATTTACTGTATTTTTTTCTTACGTGTCTATCAAGTAATTGATAATTCAGCACCAATAATATCTTGATTGTAAATTGAGATCAAATTTAAAATCAGATCAGTAGTTTGAGACTCTATATAATACAAACAGTCGAATAGAACATGAATTTTAATATATAGTTGATTGAATAAATTTTTGCTTAATCCATCGAATATTTCCTTACCTTAAAAAGTGTCGAAGCAAAATTCCAAAACGCGGCTTCGCTCTTCTAACACTTCGAAGTATATTAAAACTTATTGTTATTAAATTATAAGTTCATTTTTAAGTATCATTATTTTTCTTTAATATTTCATATTTTCTTCCATATTTTAGTTCGAGTATCAGCCCGCATAAAACGAAGACCCACTCGGTACGAAGTCTCCGTTGTGACCCGCGATGAGGTTGGAGCCTACAAACCATACCTTTGGGAGCAAAGTGTATTCAACAAAGGTCCAATGTTCAGAGAATGGCTCCTAACTAAAATAGTTAACGGAGAAAGAGCCAGTTATTCGGCCCCAAAATTCGCCAGAATGCAGGAACGCACCAGATCGCAGATGCTGGAAGATATTGTCGCCAATTTGGCTAACCATGCGGAGACTGGACAAATACCCAAGCCTTATAGAAGAGGTCAGTAATAGAGATAAATATTTATTTTAATAATATTGGTGCAGTTCTCAATATGATTTTTATATATTTGTTTTCTTTTTTTTAGGTTCGTGGCGACCAATAGGTCACATGCGACCTAGTTCACCACTTTTGGACTCCGTGAGGGATCAATTCGAGGATTATGATGAATTGGCTAAAGATTTTACGAGAATGTTCCTGAATAGTGAAGCAAATGCTCTGGCCAATGGTCAATTGTTTGATGTAGTATTCATGGTAGGCCAGTCTAAACAGAAAGTCAAGTTTATTGGAGTCAGAGCCATACTTGGAGTTAGGAGCAGGTGAGATAAAGAATAGATTTTTTTTATTATTATTATTACAATTCAACAAGGTTTAAATAAACTCATTGTAGTAACAGAAAGGTCTCTTATGGACTTTTATTGTTGCAAAAGCGATCAGCTAAAGAAAACTTCATATTTTGTCAATTAATGACAATTTTTTTCAGTATATGTAGTATGCGATATATTATGATTACATTTACATGTAATCCGCAGTGCATTTGGGCAGGATGGTATAAAAGATGACTTTAATGAATTTACTTGTTAATCAAAATTATCATATACTAGTTAACCCGGCAAACGTTGTTTTGCTAAGTAAGGTATTTTGCAAACATTTTCTAGTAGAAAATCTAGAAAATTAATACTTTAATTTAAGTGTGTAAGGATGTGTTGTTTGAATGCCATATACAACGAGGTATTATAAAAATAATAAACCACATTAGTTTGTCTATATTTTGTCAACACAATCAAACAGGAAGTTTTATACTTTTTCTATAGAAAATATGGTATAATCCAATCCAAGTTTTTTTTGGTCTTTCGACTTATTGATTACGTTTCAAGTTTTTCAGATTCTTTTTGGATTCTGGATTTTGTGTATAATTGTAAATAATATTACTGAGCTTATACAAAATTTTTGCAATTTCTGCGAGGAGAGATTAAAATTGAATTAAGTATTTCTTCTTTGACCTGCTCTTTGAAAAGTTTCAAGTAATATTCGATGAATTGAAAGAAATTTAATAAAAAGTAAATATGTAAAGCAGGGCGAGGCACAAAGGTCCAATTTGACTTTAAGCAAATATAAACTACATTCTGAAAACCAAAACAGTTTTATCACAACAAATAACACATTTCAAACAAACATTAACTGACTACGTTCAGTAAAACTGCCAGCTACTTCATCATTGTAGAAATGTGCTTTTTGTGATATATTTCAAACAAAATTATCTAGACCTTTTTACCCTATAGGCGGGGTAACTTGTAACGGCCAGGTGGCAAACAGGTTTAATGTCTTATTTTGATTTAAAAATATTTTACAAAATAATTACATTTTTGATTAATGATAAAAAAAACTACCAACGGAAGAAAATACTTTTAATTATGGATTTTCAAAAATTAATGTTTATCTCCTGATAGCAAAGTCATAAGAATCAAGGTTATAGCTGATTATGCATCTTTTTTCTTTTCCAAATATTGTTGTTGAACAATGCTTAACTTTAATGGTTTTTGAGACATCAGTGGTGGACCTTTTCAACCCCAGGCCTTTATATACTACTAACCATTCTTTGATTCTAGAAAATGATAACTGGGAATAATTTATTCAACAAAATGTCACTTTGATCGATTTCAAATTTAGGTTCTGATTTTAAATAACATAAATAAAAAATAATATAACCTAGAAAATGTTTTATAAATAACAATGAGTGTATAATTATACATATGAGTTTTTTCAGAGCACCGTGTTTGAGAAAAATATGATTTGCAAAACGAGAGTGCTATAACGACTAAAAGTGAATTTTCATATTAATATTTCAAAAAATTTTATATATTGAGTTTCTAGTAACACTTGCGCCCCGTTTAATAACGTTTTTGTGTATAAATATAACTACAAACAACAAAACTACTAACTACAATTTAATTATAATTCAATAATATTCACCTAAAACATAAACAAAATATTTTGGACTATGTGCTTGACTTGATCATAAGACTTTCAGCACATAAAAATATATGTTATATGATTTATTTTCTTTATCCCAGGGTGTTCCAAGAGATGTTGTACGGTATCCAAACTGGATTTGGATCACCACAAGTACCCGTGGCAGAGCTTTTAGCCCGTCCTGTTCCGCCTCTGCTTTCTCCGCAAGCAGCTCGACCGAAAAGCAGTAACTTTTTGCAAGTGCCTGATATAGAATCGCCCAGGTAAACAAAATATTTCAACTTTTATAAAGTATTCTATAACTTATTTAAAAACATACAAGTGTGGAGTTTAATTGCCAACATTTTGGACCCACTGAGACCCAACTGAATTTGATTATTTATTATTATTAAAATTGTTGTTGCTTTAAATTCTAAGAATAGTATGGTAATCACACTTGTTCATTCGAACAAGACGAAGAAATCCAATCAAACATCCTCTCGGGTAGAATGATTCAATTTATTTTTTTAGAAGTATTACGAGTTAATAAAGACTTTGCAGATTAGGATTCATTTGGATACTGTTGAATATTAAGAATTTTTGTATAACTTTAATTTATTTTATATAGACCAAAGAGTGTACCTAGTTCTCCGATGGTAAAACGCGCCTTCTCTCGCCTTGGAACTATAACTGCAGGCTGGGGCAGGTCTATCAGGAAGCAGCATTCGCAATTGCATGCTGATGATAAGAAAAAGTGGGCCAGTTCGCACGATTGTTCTAGTAAGTAATAAATCATTATTACTAGTTCTATGCATTCCAGTCCTTGGTAGGGAAGTTTATCATTCCTTAAGAAAACACTCCAGGTTTTTTGTTACACCAGTATTCCTAGTCTACTTTTTAAATAATATTGGATTATTGTCCTACGACCTGGTTTTTTATTTTCTGTATTCTTCTGATATATATCTTACATATAATCCTAAACGATTATTCGGATTTTGATAAATCTTTCTGGAGAGTGTTAAGGGATTTTTTTAATACGTATGAGATTATAAAAATATATTAATGTTGTAGATATAAATGGAAAAAATTGCAAAAAACGAGATGTCATTGTTTGACATTGAATATATTTGGGACTATATATATATATATATATACTATATATTTACTTATGAGCCTAGACAATATGAGAATATGTATAATAAATTGATAATTATGAATAAAAAAATGAAATGTCTACATTATTATTACCAAAGAGCAGCTGAGATGTGCCAAAAATTTAAATAATATAAGATACAGGATATGTATGGCAGATTGAATGATACACATATGAACTGGATTTGAGAAATTAATTCACTTAAAATATGAAATAAAGTAATAATCAGGGCCGGTTCTACCTTGAATGCGACGCATGCAAAAAATACGAGCGCACGCCTTAGGGGGCGCCAACACAAGATTCGGATATGAAATTTTTAATAAAGTTTTTTTTTCAATATAATTCAAAAAATATATAATTTCTTTGCATCTTTCATTAATCTTTGCACAATATTTTCAAAATACGTTTAAAATTTTACTTTAAAACAACAAATGCGAAAGTAAAGATGAATACATACAATTTGGCTCTTACGATATCAATTAGGGTAAGTTTAAGATGCAATTTTGGATATCTCAAATAATAAAAATTTAATTAAAATAATCCAATATGATGTACCAGTGTGTTTATGCTATGGTTATGTTCAATAATGAAAGGCTAGAATTTTTTTGCTATCTATGATTTGCTCAATAGAATAAATCGCATGAAATGTCAAAAATAAATAAGTAAAATGTTTCAAAAGCCAATTATTAATCAATGATAATAATTTTATTAATAAACTGTTAAAACAAGTAAAATAATATCGGCGGGGCGCTAGAAAAAAATAGCTTGTTGGCGCAGAGGACCCCAGAAGCGTTCCTGGTAATAATGTATATTAAATTATTACTAAGAAAAATGTAATTTATATATTATAATTTCTAAAAGCCAGGTCAAATATGATACGAGATTATAAAAATTATAGGCAACATTATTGGAACAATTATTTTGGGTGCAAAAATCCAAGGTGATATTACTTTTACCGCGGATACTATGTATTAATATTTTCTGAATTTATAATATTATACCTTTTGAAAGACTTCAATTTCCAATATAGTGTGGGAATTGAGACTCCTCATTTTATTTAAAGCAGTTCTACATTTAACATCGCTCATGTTTATGTATAGGCATTTTGGAGTGAAAAGTAATTTAAAAAACAATAATTATTATTTTTAGGTAAACGGTAAATATTAGTATGGGATATTAGTGCACCCTGTACCCTGCAATCCTGCACCCTTACGCGAGATATGATTTTGGACAAGTGAATAAAATCTCTCTGATTTGTTTCCGCGTTTGTTTGTCGAGTAAACTTAATGAAATGAATTGATATCAAAACAAAATATTATATTGGATGCTTTTGGAGTTATTAATAAACTCGTGTTATTATCCGTAGTCTATCGTGTTATATTACTGTTTCATTATAAAGTATATTTAATTAATATAGAAGCACATTTTTCTATAAGTTCATTCAAACCGTTACTATCGTGTTAATTTATGCAATTGTTTTTATCAGTATCTTAATACATTGTAGAAAGATTTATTTACTATTTATTATATTTTCTAGATAAAGAATCCAAAGACGGCAGCAAAGACAAGTCTGCTCTGCAACCTTTACCAGTGCCTCGTCTCTCGGTCTGTGCAGATGCTCAAAAAGTAGACAGAGCCAAATTAGCTCAGACTGAATTTTCGATTATTGAGTTCGACCCTGACACATTCCGAGTACTTCTGGACTACCTGCATACTGGTAGTTGTCCTTTGACCTGCGCTACGATACCTGGTCTGATTTGTGCAGCTGAACATTACGATTTACCTGAACTTTTGCAGGCGTGCTTCCATCATGCGAAACAGTTTTTGAGGATCGATGTGGTAAGAATCATATTTAAAATAACTAGTTGAAAGTGACATTTAGTAAGATGACCATATATTTTTAAGTCAAAACCTTTGACGTCAATTTTTAGTTATGCTAATCCGGGACGGGGGAGGGTGGGTGTAATAGTTTTTTTATATGAATCAATTTTTTTAAATCGGAAATGCGGACCTTCGGTAAGAACTTTATTATTTGATTATATGTAATACTTCTTTGTCTATGATATTTTTGGATCTATATGGTTTTTTTCGTTTTTGAGCTTTGCATAAAATTCTTTTCAATAAAAAAATCACACTTGCTCGCTTATTTTCATAACTTTTGTAAATTTACCTATTAATTTTTGAAAAACCGGGACAATCCGCGACAAAAGGTCTAAATCCGCAAACAAAATTTGCTTTTAGAAAAACCCGAGACAGAAGGTAGAAATCCGGAACTATCCCGACCAAACCGGAAAATGTGGTCACCTTGAATTTAGTCTTATGGCAAGTTGCATGAACTTCCTGAAATGTGTAAGATTTGACTTAATCAATCGAAATTGAAATTTGGATAATTAGATGAAATTTTCAACTGTTTAATTTCAAAAATAAAATTATTGCTTTTAATTAAATCTAAACATTGTGATTTTGAATAGAACCTTCTCAAACACATTTAAATTAACTGTAATTATATTAATTATAATGCAGAGACACGTGCTTGTATGCTCTAAAATTGTAGCTTATTATTTTAAAATTTAATGAATTGATGATGTTTGACTCATCACATCACAAAAGCAACTTTTGACACAAATTTTGACTATAATATTTTCTCAAACTTTGATAAATTTTTAACATTGAACTATTTGTCGTATGGCCGTAACATTTTAGTATGTTTTATAAGAATTTTTGGACCCCCCTCCCTCTTGGTGATACTTCGTGATATTTAAAACTACCCCCCGTTAGTTAGTTTAGTAACGTAATTTTTTTTTTTCGAATTTACTAAAAAATCGTATGTCTTTTTGAGAATTCAGGTAAAAAGTAATTACACGTGATATCTTACTAGATCCCTCCCTTCCTCCACGTGATTTTTTGTGATTATTTGTCCTACCCCCCTCCCCCTAAAAGCTTCACGTAATCAATGGACGCTCCATAAGACCATGATATCTATTTCCATAAAAGGTTCATGAAAATCAGTACGTTTTTTTCACCGGTTAATTTCAAAAAAATGGTCTGGTAGACTTTTACCTAAAACTAATCATATCATACCCAATCAATATCTTTCGAACAGTTTTTGATTTTTTAAAATCGATTCAAAATTGAGAGCAGAAAGGTGGACGAAAATCTTTTCACTTTTCTGCTATTTACAAAGAACGGCTCAGACGATCATCGCACAAAACTGAGAAAAGATAATCCATATCAAAATACATCGATTGGCTTCTAAATTTTTGACATCGGTTCAGGCGTTTTTGAGCAAACGTCGATGAAAGTTCTATTTTTGGCAAACGCCAAAAAAACGATGCTATTTTTTGCAAACTTTGACGAATTTGTAAAATTAAACGACTTGTCGTAGGGCCGTTATATTTTAGTATGATCTATAAGACCATGGTATCTACTACCGACATTTCAGTAAACCGGTTTTCGAATTATAAATTTCTCAGAGATCCGGATTTAACTGGTTTTTGAATTTTATATAAAAAATCAATTTTTTGCTCAAATATTCTGTAATAAAAAAAAATATTGGCAAAATTTGATTTTGCAGTGATTTAAAGCAGATTTTGACTGAATTTATTTATTGTTCAATTGAATGAATAGTAAACAAATTTATTTTAATTTTAATTAGTAGAACAAAGTAATAATAGTTAATTTGTATTATGATAGTGAAAGAAGAGTTAAAACCGATAAATGAAAATAATACATGTTTTAATAAAAAAAACTTTTAACTTTTAATTAAGTAAAAAGAAATTAGATACATATTGATACATACTTGTTAATGTAATTTTTTTAAGTTCTAAAAACAATTAAACAAAACTCCGAGTTTATTCTATTTTGAATAATTTCAATTAATTAATTTCAAATATTTAATTATTTTTTGGTTTATTAAAATAGGATTGCTAAAAGCTGAGGACGTCTATTGATTTGTCATTTAAAAGTGCCCTAATATTTCTGAAAATTTTGTTATTTTATTTGTGACTTCTAGGGCTAAAAACTCTTTTTTTGTTTGAGTAGAGCAATTCACTTCTTTAACAAGAAGTCACATTGATCTAAATTAATATATACTTTGATATAATAATCTAAATTAATATATACATTAGACAAAATATAACACAGAATCAACTATAACAGACTGATATGATTCAAAATTTTTATCGAACCCATATGATTCCAAGTATCAAAACTCTTGCTTCCATCTAGTATATATGTCATTTTCCATTTATACAGTAAAAACCGATTTTTCCCGCTAAAAAAATTCTTTTTAATACTTTATTACAAGAAAACGATCAGGCCGATCTTTACCAAAAGCTAATCAAACGGGTTTTGAATTTTCAAAATCGATTCAGAATTGCGAGTTACAACGTGGACAAAAAATTTTTCACTTTTCTGCTATTTATAAAGAAACGCCATTATTCTTCATCGAGATACATCGAATAGCCTTTCAATTTTTGAAGTAGGTCTAGTAGTTTTGAGAAAACGTCGATTTACAGCAAAAAAATCTATTCACACACACACACATACTTTTACCAAATTTGGTTTCATTCTATTCAGAACGGCTTGAAAGAAAACATAAAACTAGCGAATCGGATTTTTTGATGAAAACATAAACTTCTCCTTCGGGACGTTGATAAAAGACTGAATATAAAGCTTTATGAATTATTATATAATCTTTCTTTACTAGGTATGTGTGATGCTGATCTCCCTAGAGAACTACTACTGGCGTTACACATCAGCTTCTGAACTGGTCAATATGATCCTTGCATTTGTGGAAACCAGGGCGTACGCCCTATTTCAGTGCCCTGAATTTTTATCTCTGTCCGAATCCATGGTGCAGATGATAATGGTTAGAAATCTGGAAATACCAGAAGTTAGAAAATTTGAAGCAATGCTAGCTTGGTCCAGGCACAAAGTCAGGACGAAAGCATCCTGTAAGGATGCCAAGGTAGAATTCAAGTGTACTATGGAAAGATTGGCAAGGGATCTAAAGTTGTATAGAATAACGCCTCAAGAGTTGATCAGAGTTGTGTTACCTACGAAAACAATTAAAAACGAAAGGATTCTGGAGACTTTGATGTACCAGGCGAATTCTGGTATGTACAGGATACAAGATAGTTACTTGGAAGCTTGTCAACAGAGACTGCAGAAACAGGATTCGAGGTTTTCGGAGTGGGAAAGTTTTGATTATGGATTGTAAATTTACGAAAAAGTGAGTACATGAGCACAAATAATTTGCATAATATTGTATTTTTAATGTTACTAACTCTGAAAGTGGTCAACGTTTGACCAAATTGTGATACTTGGATAATGACACCCGCACTAGGCATACGATTGCTGGGTGATAATAAGAAAACCAAAAAAATGTGGCAAATTGGTTAATTTATTTTGCTTTTATTCTGCAATTTTGAAAATATATGGCACGATGGTATGCAACTTCTAACTTTGTTGGTATGGTATATTTATATAGGTGTTGTCAGCTTTGAGCCTTCAAAATGGAATTTTGAGACAAAATTGGTGGCATACGCATTTTTATCCTTAGCAATAACTTAGGTTTTGTTATTTGCTTAGGATTTTCGAATTTGGCGCTTTGTTTTGGCACAATTAAATTGGATACTTTTATAATGCTGATTTTCTTTGAAATTCTGCATTGTGAATTTATCTAATATATAAAAGATAGATTTTGTTTTATAATGGACTGCAATTTCTAACTAAAAATGACATTTTTGAGTGGGAAATAAAGTAAAGGACACATTTATGAATATATAATATATATGCAATAACGAAAATAATATATAATTCTGGCTACGTTTGCAACATGCAATAATAATCATGATGGTGACTGTAAAACTTTTTCATATATTTATTATATAATTAGGGTGGTCCTTAATATGGACATTTTCGAATTTCGTTGCTCCCAAGGGCTCAAATGCTTACAAATTAATAAAAAACAATTCTCTAAGAGTTTTAACTCTTAATATTAACATTTAGATTGTCCACAATTCAATTAAAATTTTCGTATATTCATTATTAACATATAGCATTAAGTAAATACTTGCGCCGTCTGTGATAGCAGACTTGTAATTTTGATGGCAATTTGAGTGTCATCACCACCAATTAATTAAATATTTTGCTTCAAAATTAATTTTGATGCCATGATGAATAAATATTTCGTTAAACAGTCCACATGGATTTAATTAGAGGTTAAGTGTTTTATAAATATTTTTAAGTGTCATAATATTTGAGTTTACAAATGCTATCACAGATGTCGCAAAAATTTACTTAATGACATATGGTAATAATTAATAAACGATAGTTTTAAGTGAATTGCGGACTATCTAAATGGAAAATATTAAGAGCTAAAACTTTCAGAGAATTTATTTTCATTCATTTGTAAGCATTTGAGCCCTTGGGAGCAAACAAATTAGAAAATGTCCATATTAAGGACCACCGTAACATATATAAATAATTTCCCTTAAGATATTGTACTAAGTGTTAGCTTAAGAATGCGTCTCTTCCCGTTTCTGGAAAAACTCAAAAATCAAAATTTTTTCTAGCTGTTTTACCGCCGAGTTTTTCTAGAATTCTAGTTATTCATTAATAAATATTAAAATAATATGTAATGTGTAAATGTAAATCTTAATATCGGATTGTAAATATCAGAATAAATATTTTTTAATCATCGCCGACGTAGCTATAAGTGTAAAAGTCAACATATAAGTGTTTATACGTACCAAAATGACTCTGAAGCAATTGATGTAATTTTTTTTCTGTCATTTTGCAACATTGTCATTTTTTCACATTTTGGGATAAATATTGATTTGGGTGTGAAAGATAGATTTTGAGAAATATTTTATTAACAGTACTGCTATACAAATTTATAAAATATGCTAACTTTCCTTCCATAATATAGAAGAAAAGAATTTGAAATGTTTTAAATAGATTATTATTAATATTATTTTTAATATTAAATTAATTTTAATTTTGCGCTAATTAAATACTAAAATAAATCTTTTGGTAAAGTATTTTTGAAATCCATATTACGTTAATACTAACAAATTTTAATTAACCTATGGAAAACTTACGGTTTCATCAGAACTTACTTTTAAAATTCCAATCAAATTTATACATTGGTATGGAAATACATTTCATTTTTAGAATCAAATATACCTAAATTTATTTGTACCTTATTGATATAAATTTTTAATTAAATACTGTATTTTTTCTAACTACTAATTTATAAATAATAGTAATAATTAATTTGAGAAAAATCAGTCAACAGTTTGGTCAATGATTCCAAACGGTTCAAATTGATATTATTTATTACTTACTTTTTTATTTTTATTTATGACATGATCATAATAAGATTCAATTTATTTAAAAGGAAAATCGAATTTATTTAAATAAATGGTAATTTTGTTTTTTTGTTAAAAAATTTTATTATCTGTCATATGGATATGAATTTGGATGAACCTCATTACGATTTTTGGGTAATTTTATTTTTAATTTACCATTATCATCAATTTATGTTTTTTTTTTCCTTTATTGACATAAAATTTTTATATCTTAGCCTTGTTAACAATCACAGTTTTAGACATGATATATTAAAAATTTCCTATTTATTACATTTAAAAATTAAATTAACATAAAATGCTTTTTAGGACTAATTTATTCTTGTTGTTGAAGACTATATCAGTACTTTTAGTAAATATTTGGTTCTTGATCTAAAAAATCCAAAAGTTTATGGAACTGAAATAATTTGGCTTATATGATGACACCAATATTCAAAAAGTGTTATTAAATTTGGATTATATAAATATAAAGAAATTTAATTTAGTAAGGAATATAGGATACCTATTGCAAAAAATTTGAAGCATTGATTCAAAAGAATGGAAATCATATCAATAATAACATTGACGATCATATTTATACATTTTTCTAAATTATTTTTCTCTTATTATTTATCTGTCACGTATTCATTATTATTTCTTTCAATAAATTCCAATTTCACAGACTCTAAATTTTTTGACTTTCTTTTTTTGAGTTTTTGACTAAATTTTTGATTATTCCTTTATGGCCTTCAATGTACAAACTTTTCTAATTTATGCTCTAATATTTATATTATATATCCATATATAAAAATGTCACAAACCAAAATCAATTTTAATTTATAATATTTTTATAACAATTTGTATATTAAGATTTATTAAGAAGTGTCTTTAATGAGTGTGCTTGACTGAGAAACATTGGAATTTGAAATATTTTCTTTTAAATCTAAAATCTGGTTCTCAAATCATTTTTTATTTGAAAAGTAATGAAAACTTTATTTTGTAAATTTCTAAAGACTTCTAAAATCATATGCACTATATACAAAAAATTACCACGACGAATAAATTCAGGATTAACAAAAATAAAATTCTCATACTAAAAATTTATATCTATAGTTTTAAAGATTTTCAACTTAAATTCTTTGAAGAATTCAACCCATCTAATAAAATTTTACAGTTTTTATTTTTACAGTTTAGTTAAGTAATATTATTTTTATCAGAAATTACACAAACATTAGTTGTAATAATTAGATTTTAGAAAGCAATTGGAATTGTAATGTTTTAATATTATACTAATTGACTTTTGTATCCAAATTTCTGGTTTCTTTATCAATTATCCCCCCATTAAATCTGGCCCCAGAGCAGAGTCGCGCGCCGTCACTGCTCCCGTGCTCCTTTTCGCGCGCTAAACCTTGTTCTAAATTTATAAATATAACTCAGCCTACATAATATATAAAAATATTTTAGAAAACTGTTTATTTATAACCAACGGCCAGAGTTTGTTCTATTACTATCGAGCGGTGGCCAACACGATTCGGATTTGATCACAAATATTAGGCTAAAGTAGCCTACTAACAAAATTATTTAGTCTGATGGCAATTTTAAAAGTGAATTATGGTAGAATATTTTAAAGACAACAAGTTGAATAAGCTACCTGAGTAAATTCAAAGTTACCTTTTAAGTTATTTTAATTAAAAAAAATTCAAAACAGAGAAGAGCTTTTAATACCATTGTACATTTTTGAGCCGATTTTTTTAAATATTTCTGGAAGTCATATATAATTGAAATTAATCAACAAAAATCATAGATACTTCGTAAATCGTAAAACATTTTTAGTTTACCAAATTTGAATATAGTGAGTAGATTTATACTTTTTGAGTCAATTTTTTGAAAATTTCTTCTGTACCATGAAGAGACAAGTTTTAACTACTTGTGAAATTTAAGTAAGACGTGCTGAAATTTTATCTATTTTATTTAGATCCTAATTTTGAGACACTTTGGTCATTTTCTAACTAATTTTGTTTAAAAAGTATCATATCACAAACAAATACTTTACATTTATGGAAAATAATTTTACAGTCTTGTAATTATTTTATGTTTGCTATAACGTTACATCATATTTAAAAAAATCAGGAGCACTTCTCAATACATCTCAATTTACCAAATTTTAAAATAATGAAAAGATGTGAAGGCATTTATTCATTTTTGAGTCATTTTTTTTAAATTTTAGGTAATTTTTTATATATTAAAAAATATAAACAAGTTTCACTTGCGTGAAATTTGTGTTTATCTATTTTATTTAGTTTATGATTTTGTGACACGTTGAATATTTTTTTAACTAATTTTGCTTCAAAAACTGTATCTCAAGAAAATTGCATAATTTACAGATTTGTAAAATTATTCGGTAGCTTTTGATATAATCTCTAGAACGTTTTATTATATTAAGAAAAATTATAGACACTTCTTAATGCATTTTAATTTACTAAATTTGAAAACAGTAAAAAATTTTGAAGCCATTTATAAATTTTTGAGTTTTTATATTTTGTTATTTAAGTTTTGATCTCTTTGTTAAATATGTTTATTTTCGTATATTCAAAATGATATTGGCAAGTGTTGTCAGAACTTGCAAAAAATTTGCTAAACTTAAATTTGGTACTACTTTTTTAAAACTCTGCATTTTGTGGGTGTTTTTTTAACTTATTTTGCAAAACAAAAAGCTTCATATGAGAAAGTAAAATGCATCATAAGACAAAAAATCACATTTAAAAAAGCTATATCATAAATGAAGACCCTTAAAACATAATTTATTTCACCACTAAAACACTAAAATTTTTGAAATATATATATATATATATATATATATATATATATA